TCCACCCCCTCCTCCGTCCCGCGATAATCAATGCTTTTCTATGGGGAAAAATCTGACGCTGGATGTCCTCATGCAGAGCGTGATGATATCCAGCATCAGATAACGGTCCAAAAGTCTGTTACGATTCTGGAAGCCCTCTAGTGGCTGTCTGCTACATTGCAGCACTAGGTGCAAAAGGGACACAGCACCCAGACCACTTCAATGAGCTGAAGTGGTCTGGCTACCTACAGTGTCCCTTTAAGGCTGTAGGGCTCTAGATGCTTTCATAATATTATCTTTTGTGATGTGGTAGTGTACTCTAGATATTGCGACACCGGGGCCGGAGGCTGGTCTAGTAATAGGTTTTGTTCCGGTGTGTCCAGCAATATAGCATGAAATAGTTGTTTGACAAATTCAGTGAGGTCAGATGGTTTAACCTCCTCTGCGATCCCTAGGATCTTGTAATTGATTTGCTTCCCTTCAGCTATTTCAAACATGTGTTGTCCTGGTGCGATTTACATGGCAGAAAAAAAGATAAGAGTAAACACAAGGCTTCTACAATAGGTCGTTCTAGATGGTGGGCTGAGCTTCCCAAATCAGATAAATTATTATAGAGCTGCAATCTTGCACATGGTGGCACAGGTGCACATGATGGCAGATGCCTCTAAGTGGGTTCACCTGGAAAATCATTTGGTTAAGCACAATGTCATATATGATCCCCACCTTTAATCATGAGGGGAAGGGTAGAAGCAGTATAACACACTTACACCAAATCTGTAGTTATATCGCTTTCCTAAGATACACAAATATTAAAGCCATACTCTACCACACTCTAATGTGAGATACTTAGAAATCTCCAGGTTGTGAAAGAAAATGTTCCCACCAGACATAGTGGCTCTCAAACAAAACAAAAAAATATTCCTAAACTGGTCGTACGATAGTTTGGGTTTAATGCTAGCTGGACCAAAGCCAGAACAATATGGAACTCCTACACTTGCAAGGGAGTGGACGTGCATCCCTCATCTTACATATAAAAAACAAAACAAAAAAAAAAAAATTAAAAAAAACCCCATAAGTTATTACAAATATTTGCAACAATGAAGTTTAAGAGTTTTGGAGAACAGACCATAAAGAAAGACCAGGTACTCACCAAATTAGGAACCATTATCATTTAGCAGGATCCATCACTGTAACACTATAGCGATACAATATTGCGGCTGAAACTGAGAAGAATAGTTCAGACCTCTCCCCCCCCCAACCCTTGCCCTTTATTCCCCTACCCCCCCAATACATACCATCCCCATGAGTTTTATAGGTGTTACCTTTATTTTGTTTCTCATTGGGTTTCTCATTTATGCAACCAGTCATTCGTGTCCTCAACTCGTGTATCTACAATGCTCACCCTGAGACTGTAATGCCTGTTATGCTTTATGTATGTAAAGGAATGTTTCTTTTTTTTTTTTTGTTAATCAAAAATCTTACATAACATTATTCATCCATGATGTTACATATCATTGTTCATCCCAAATATTGCATAACATCGTTCATCTAGAATATTACATATCAATGTTCATCCAAAATATTGCTGTCTTGTTCATCCAGAATATTACAAAACATTGTTCTTCCAAACTATTATATAGCATTGTTTGTCCATAATATGGCCTAACATTAGTCATCCAATATATTACAGAGCTTTGTTCATCTAAAACATTTCCAACCATTTTTCATCTATACTGCTATAAGATGTTGTTCCATCAAAATAATGAATTCGGCTTTTGAAATCAAAAAATATATGGATAAGTAGTCATTGACTTATATGATGTGGTTTTGTGAGTGGTGTAAAAGCATGATCAATTAGTGTATTTGTCAGATCCTAGTTCCAATGGTTTATCTGCTAATCTCTGATGACTTCTGCTACGTCGGCGGTACATGAACTGTGAATACAAGACAAAATAAAACAAGACCAGAGATGCAAGGCAAAACAAGAGGAGACAAAACTAAGTACTATATATGTAAAACATTGAAGATTTAGACATACATAAATGGCCAAGATGTATGCAGCCCACCAACTGCGGCAAAGTACTCCAATTAAGGTGGGACCTATCTACCTAGATATGCATTACTAAATAAACAATAATAAAACACACACATCACTTACCTGGAAGAAAAGAGCAGAAGACTTGTAGCAACTGCCTGCAGGAAACAACTGAAACAAAAGGATTCATGAAAAAGGAACGGGCAACATGGAAGCAACATAAAGCAGACATTTAAAGGAATCCAAGAGACTGGGAATTCCAGGAACGGAATACAGGAATGAACCCAGAAAACCCAGCATAAAGAAAACCAGACATGAAATATAAAACCAGAAAAACCAAGAAAACTAAACAAGAATTGTAAAAAGAGTACTGGATACCAGAAGCCAAGGCCAGACATCTCAGCAGAACAGAGCAGGATGTGACAATATGTGTATGTCTGTAATACTGTGTATCAGGATGGTTGTGCGTTTCCATAATGCTTGAATTACTGTGCATGACCACCATATGTGTGCGGGTGTTCATGTCCCCTGTAAGCACCTCTAGCATATGTTCAAGGTGGAGGGGAATAGTCTGTGTAATTTTACCAGTGAGTAGTGCCATCGGTAGATTCTCTTGAAGTTTGCCTCTATAACGGTGTTACTGATAGCTGTCTTGTGTATTTGTTTGAATATAATGGACCACTCTGCGGGAGTGAGCATAATTTGGAGGTCTGTAACCCATGATGTTGTGTATGGAGGTGGTTGGTTGTTAGAATCGAGCTGTAGTACCTTATAAAATGTTGATAAGTATTTGGTTTTCACACTACAAGTGTGACATTGTGATTCAAAGTCAGAGTGGGGACGGTCGCTTGTCAGTAATGGCCATGGCCTGGAGACCTGGTGGGAAAAGAGGGTTGTGGAGAGATACTAGGCGATTTTCTGATGTGGTGCCGATTTTCTTATGAGGGTAGGTATGATCGTTGGGTGGGTTTGATTTTGGGGGAGTAAGTGTTTACGGTCGTTACTCTGCCAGGGTATGGTGTATATTGGTAGTTGAAACATATCATTTTCCAAATCTACCCATTGTTTGTGTGGTGCCAGATTTGTCCAGTCATAGATTCTGGTTAATTTTACAGCTGAGTAGTATAATTCCACGTCTGGGAGACCTAGTCCCCCTCTTAATTTATGTCGTGTTAGGGTGTGATAAGCCAGTCGTGGATGTTTGTTGCCCCATATAAACTCAGTGAAGGACAGCCTAATATTAGAGAAGAAGGATTTCGGTAGGGCAATGGGAAGAACTTGGAGCAAATATAGAATTTTTGGCAGAGTGTTCATTTTTAATATGTTGATTCTGCTAATCCAGTTGAACTGGGGTTTGTTCCATGATATTAGATATTAGATATTAGAAATTAAAGGGGTGTAATTTACATCATAGAGTTTAGAGAAATCTTTTGAGAGTTGAACCCCTAAATATTTGACGGCTGCGTTTGTAGTTAGATTTTAGAGTGTTAGTGACATGTTCAGTGGTATGTAGTGGGAGTATTTCACTTTTGAGGTAGTTTACTTGGAAGTTAGAGACTTGGTGATATAATGTTAGTTCCTCTACCAGTGGCGCCATAGAGGATATGGGATCTGAGATCGTAAAGAGCAAGTCGTCCGCAAAGGCGGAGACCTTGTATTCCCTTTGTTTGCTGGACACTCCCCGAATGAATGGGTGATCTCTTGTACCCTGTAAGAAGGGTTCTAGGATGAGAATGAATAACAATGGGGTCAGAGGGCACCCCTGTCTCGTGCCATTCTTTATCTGTACAGATTGAGAGAGTTGGCAGTTAATGCGTAATTTGACTGTGGGGTGAGAGTATATGGCTTGTATCGACTTCATTCAGTGGGGTCCAAATCCGTATGTATGGAGTGTGGCAAATAATAGTGCCCAGTCCACCCTGTCAAACGCCTTTTCTGCGTCGATTGCAAGGATTATGTGGATCAAGTAAAGCAATTTATCTGCGTTATTTTTAGCTTCCCTGTGTGGCACGAATCCTGATTGGTCTGGGTGTATAAGTAGTTGCAAAAATGGGCGTAGGCGATTTGCTAATATTTTCGTAAAGATCTTCAGGTCTGTATTGACTAAGGATATTGGGCGGAAATTTCCACATTTGATGGGGTCTTTTCCTGGCTTTGGTAGGAGGGTGATGTGGGCTTCTAAAGCCGAATCCGGTATTGTGCTATTAGTAGTCAGCGAGTTAAATGCCTGGAGAAAGGGAGTAGATAGTGTGTGAAGTAAGGTATTTGGCTGTGAAGCCGCCGGGGCCTGGGCTTTTTCCTATCGATGTATGTTTTACTGCCAGTTTAAATTCCTCATGAGTGATGGGTGCATCTAGAGTGTGGAAGACATTATTCGGTAAGGTTTGGTGTATTCTGGTGGACAGGTAGGTATTGAGTTCCATGTCTGAGGGGGGTTTGTCCCTTAGATTATATAAAGTATGTATGAAACGCGTCCATGATCTCTGGGAGCATTTGAGTGGTTTCTCCAGATGACTTCTTAATCTTGGCAATAAAGGTGGCTTGTCTAGATTTTATTAGGGCATTTGCTAGCATACGGCCGCATTTGCCGCCTTGGGAGTAGAAGGAGAACTTAGTGAGGAGTATTTTGCATTTGGTTTGCACGTTTAGGAGTTGTGTTAGTGTGGATCGCTTGTCCACTAAATTTTTGTATGTTGAGAACGAACCATCGCGTTTGTGTGATTCCTCTAATTGTCTAATCTCTCTTGGTAGGATTGGATTGGGATGGGTGGTATTTGAATGGCAAGAGACAGGGATGGTATTTGAATGGCAAGAGACAAGGGTGCATGGTCCGACCGTGTGATAGGGCCGTAGGAGCATGACTGGATCAGGTGGAGAAACCTGTGTGGGAGAAAGAAGAGATCTATCCTGGAATACGTTCTAGTAGCGTGGGAATAAAAGGAGTAGTCTCTCATATTTGTTTTAAATCATTTTTATTTTAAGCATAAAACAATTCAGGCACAGTTCGACAATGATGAGAAGCTTACAGTTGCCTACGCAGAGGCTTATTATTTTCATCAGAATTATTATCAGCAGGCATTAACCTTCTGTAATCACATTTATGACTGTACCAGGCTAAGTCTTATAACTCTATAGGTTCACCATAATCATATGAAGCCTATATGTAATCTGGTGTCTACATGTGTCAGCAAGTAACTTGGCTATACGCGGGCCTTGCGCCTCGTAGCTGTTGATGTTAGCGGGGCTTAATGATCCTGTGATTCTATTTGCCAGTATATGCGACCCTGTGAGCGTGTTACAGGCATTGAATTTAATGCAGCATATGATATGCTATAGTTTGGTTCTAACAGATATCAGGGATGTGCTGTAGGTAATGGGTATTAAGGCGCGATGTTTTGAGGGTAATGTGCGTGAAGGGTTAGCATTCAAGTAAGCCTGCTGCCGTCACATTGTGTAGATAAGCCTTGTTATTACAACTTTCTTAGACTCTTAGAGCGTTGCACCATCAGGGAACCTAGCGCATTATGTCGCAGTATCTCAGTAGTGCAGTAATTTTAAGTTGATCTGCGGCCAGTGCACTGGATACTAATATGTGTAGTAAGATATAGTCTAAGTATGCAGGTGTACGATTTGCGCTGGGGCATTGATGTGCGGTACGTTATGGTTCCAGTCTGCATAGGGCTAATGTGTGCGTCAAACTTGAACCGGCGTATACTTAAAAAAAAAAGAAAAAATGAATTAAAATACTAAGGGCCCTAATAATTATCGGAGCATCTGAAGCAGTAGTCTGTATAGGAGAAACCAAATGGATTTAGTAACCTCCTATAATGCGTCAATCTAATATGAACTGTAGCTGGTCATGCATTATATGTAATAAAGTTTATAGGCAAACAACATCAGTAATAAGGACCGTAACAATATAGAGGCAAGGTTGGCTGGAACTTGAGAGGAGGCTGTGTGGCAGTCCGAGGGAGGCTCAACATGTCTCAGCTACGGTGCAGTCCTCAAGTTCCCGAGCCGCCGTCCGTTCACCCCACCTCGCTCCCCGCCTACCGGCCGGGTCCTCCTCGGCGCCGTGGGCACTCAGGAGCAGATATTATCCCTGGACCCCACCACCAAAGTCTGTGACTCTCCCGCCCCCTGCACCTCCCCAGCACCTCGTTGTTCCCTATGGAGCAAGCACTCCCGTGTCCCTCCCAGTGCCGGCCTCACTCTTAAGGCTGGTACCCAGCCCCCCCGGCCACCGGTCCGCCGGCAGGGCAGCGCACTCCCGCCCCACAGGGCTCACGGCATCTGGGACATGGTTCTCCGGGGACCCCCATACCCAGAGACTGGGGTACTCACTGCTCCGGTCGGCGTGTGGGCGGTGTGTAGGCCCCGCCTAGCGCTCAGTATCGCCTGGGCCTGCATGAGCCGTCCTTGCCGGTCCCCTTTATTAAATTTTACCGTGGTCCTCTGGGTGTGTGGAGCTGTGTTGGAGCAGTTCCATATGAATGCAGGTGGTCTTTCTCCTACCAGATTAACGGCAGTAGTATTTTTAAGTAGGATCCTCCTCGGCAGCTTTCCAAATTGGGGCTTTGTGTGGGCTGTAGTGCCCCATTAAATGGTTGCATGCGTTCCTTCCTTCTTTATTTGGGTGCGTTCCTGGCAGTGTCCATATCTGCTAGCCGGCTGTTTTTTCTTGCAGCCATTGCTAGTGTAGGCGGGCGGCATAGGCCGAGCGCGGGAGCACCCACCGCCATGCGCGCCGCCATGATGCCGTGATAACCCCCACCGGCCCGGGGGGGGGGAGCGGGGCCGTGCCCCGAGCCGGGGTATCACCTCATGACCAGAGGTTTAGTTTATGCGGCTTCTCCTGTCCCCGTAGAGTGCCTCTCCGCGGTGTCTGGCTGCACATTGCGGGTGCACGAGGTCCGGCTTGTGGGCCGAGGGTGGACGTGTCTGCTCACCCGGTGCGTGTTGTGCTTCCTGCGTGGTATCGGGCTGAAGCTGGTAACCCTCTCCATGCAGCGGTAGCGACGGCTCCAGCATTGCAGCGCTCAAAGTCGGCTTTTTGAGCCCTTCTCACGAGCCTAGAGCTGGAGCCCATGCATATGGCGTCCAGTCGGCTCGGCGGCCCGGCCCCGCCCCCCGTCTCTCATATTTGAATGGGTCACTCGCCAGCAATCGAAAAGTTGTGATTGGTCAAGAATGTGATATATCTGTTGTCGTGCTGATGCTTGATATGTGCTTGTAACTGAGGTGGTGTCTAGCATTGAATCAAGAGAGATGTTAAGGTCACCCCCATGATTAAAATACCTTCTGCAAAATTGTCTATTGCACGTATGTAGCGCCCTAGTGCTTTGCATTGTTGTTTGTTTGGTAAATATAGATTTACAAATGTCACCATATTGTGACCTAAAAGTCCTTTAACCATCACGATTCTGCCATGGTCGAAGTTTTCATGTTTCACAAATGTGAACGGGACATGTGCCGCTATTAAGATTGCTACTCCCCGTGTCTTGGCCTCTGTGAAGTTACTAAAATATGAGTTAGGGAATTTACGGTTATGCAGTGTGAGGGCCGGGTCTTTGCGGAAGTGGGTTTCCTGTAAAAAAGCAAAATCTGCCTTGAGTTTATGGAGTTCCATAAGGGTTAGTGTCAGGAGAGTTTAAACCCCTGGCATTTAAGGATACCAGGCCGATGTCAGCCATGATAGATGTAGCATAGCGTATATTATTAAGTGTTCTTGCATAGCAAGACCACTTAATGTTATCTCACATATATATTATTATTAAGTGTTCTTGCATAGCAAGACCACTTAATGTTATCTCACATATATATTATTAAGTGTTCTTGCATAGCAAGACCACTTAATGTTATCTCACATATATATTATTATTATTATTATTAAATGTTCTTGCATAGCAAGACCACTTAATGTTATCTCACATATATATTATTATTAAGTGTTCTTGCATAGCAAGACCACTTAATGTTATCTCACATATATATTATTAAGTGTTCTTGCATAGCAAGACCACTTAATGTTATCTCACATATATATTATTATTCTTATTAAGTGTTCTTGCATAGCAAGACCGCTTAATGTTATCTCATTATATATATTATTAAGTGTTCTTGCATAGCAAGACCACTTAATGTTATCTCTCACATATATATATTATTATTATTAAGTGTTCTTGCATAGTAAAGACCACTTAATGCTATCTCCATATATATTATTATTATTATTATTATAGCAAAATTTGCTACCTCTAACTCTCCTACAGTTTTACACTGCATAGACAAAAATTTACCAAAACGTGCAGATTGTTCCCGATCGGATTGCTATTACTTTGTGGAACGTTTCGCCGAATGGTTCACGGAATATCATCGTTCTTGTGGCGAAATTTGTCCCATAGGAATGAATGGCAAAGCTAGAGTGGGAGCTGCCAAAAGCTGAAAAATCAGGACATGATTTCTAAACTGCCACCACTCCCTTATTTTCAGGCCTACCTACACAAATCTTATATCAAAACGTTCAGCTATCCCTGCTGCCACTAAACATGTCAACGGCTAAGCCATAGTCCTGATAGTTTTTACAATATAATCATTTGTTTGCAACTAACGCCGTCCATTGACTTTCATTGAAACTTCACTCTACAAAGCTCAAATTTGAAGTGCAATTTCTAAACTGCGACTGTGCCTTCAATTTTAATACTTCAGAGACATACCATGCATCAAAATGTAGGTCTGGGTCTGTGATTCTCACAATATAAAAGCTCTTCACCGTAGGAGTTATAGTTTTAAGATACCATTAGCATGGCAAACTACCAAAATACTCTGACCTGTGTCAAGTTGCAGCAGCAAGTGATGTCATAGACAGGGCCTTTTGGAATCACCTGCTAATGTTTTTATAAATGTATGGTTGGTTTAAATGCAAATAAATGAATGCTGCGTAATGATAATAGTTACTCCTGCCTACCTAGTTGTAGACTATAGGTGAGGTGAATGACTTCACACAATTTCCCCAGAAATTGTAGTTTTTCTAGTTATTAAGTGTTCTTGCATAGCAAGACTACTTAATGTTATCTCACATATATATTATTAAGTGTTCTTGCATAGCAAGACCACTTAATGTTATCTCACATATATATTATTAAGTGTTCTTGCACAGCAAGACCACTTAATGTTATCTCACATATATATTATTATTATTATTATTATAGCAAAATTTGCCACCCTAACTCCTCCCACAGTTTTTACACTACATAGACAAAAATTTACCAAAACGTGCAGATTGTTCCCGATCGGATTGCTATTACTTTGTGGAACGTTTCGCCGAATGGCTCACGGAATATCGTCGTTCTTGTGACGAAATTTGTCCCATAGGAATGAATGGCAAAGCTAGAGTGGGAGCTGGCAAAAGCTGAAAAATCAGGACATGATTTCTAAACTGCCAACACTCCCTCATTTTCAAGCCCACCTACACAAATCTTATATCAAAACGTTCAGCTATCCCTGCTGCCACTAGAAATGTCCACGGCTAAGCCATAGTCCTGATAGTTTTCACAATATGACCATTTGTTTGCAACCAACGCCGTCCATTGACTTTCATTGAAACTTCACTCTGCAAAGCTCAAATTTGAAGTGCAATTTCTAAACTGCGACTGGGCCTTCAATTTTAATACTTCAGAGATATACTATGCATCAAAATGTAGGTCTGGGTCTTGTGATTCTCACAATATAAAGCTCTTCACTGTAGGAGTTATAGTTTTTAAGATACGACCGTTTGAAGATGGCAACCACCAAAATACTCTGACTTGTGTCAAGCTGCAGCAGCAAGTGATGTCATAGACAGGGCCTTTTGAACACCTGCTAATGTTTTTATAAATGTATGGTTTAATGTAACTGTGCAATTAAACGTGCTATGTAAATGATAACAGTTACTCCACCCACTCCAGTTGTAGACTCCTGGTGGAGGCAAGAACACTTCACACAATTTCCCCAGAAATTGTAGCTTTTCTAGTTATTATTATTATTATTACAGCAAAATTTGCCACCCTAACTCCTCCCACAGTTTTTACACTACATAGACCAAAATTTACCAAAACGTGCAGATTGTTCCCGATCGGATTGCTATTACTTTGTGGAACGTTTCGCCGAATGGTTCACGGAATATCGTTGTTCTTGTGGCGCAATTTGTCCCATAGGAATGAATGGCAAAGCTAGAGTGGGAGCTGGCAAAAGCTGAAAAATCAGGACATGATTTCTAAACTGCCACCACTCGCTTATTTTCAGGCCCACCTACACAAATCTTATATCAAAACATTCAGCTATCCCTGCTGTCACTAAACATGTCAACGGCTAAGCCATAGTCCTGATAGTTTTCACAATATAATCATTTGTTTGCAACTAACGCCGTCCATTGACATTCATTGAAACTTCACTCTACAAAGCTCAAATATGAAGTGCAATTTCTAAACTGCGACTGTGCCTTCATTTTTAATACTTCAGAGACATACTATACATCAAAATGTAGGTCTGGGTCTTGTGATTCCCACAATATAAAGCTTTTCGCTGTAGCATTTATAGTTTTTGAAATACGACCGTTTGAAGATGGCAACCGCCAAAATACTCTGACCTGAGCCAGGCTGCAGCAGCAAGTGATGTCATAGACAGGGCCTTTGAACACCTGCTAATGTTTTTATAAATGTATGGTTTAATGTAATCAGGTAACAATTGCTGTAAATTGAATGTGCTAGACTACTGGTGGAGAGGTAAGAACACTTCACACAATTTCCCAGAAATTGTAGCTTTTCTAGTTATTATTATTATTATTATAGCAAAATTTGCCACCCTAACTCCTCCCACAGTTTTTTACACTACATAGACAAAAATTTACCAAAACGTGCAGATTGTTCCCGATCGGATTGCTATTACTTTGTGGAACGTTTCGCCGAATGGTTCACGGAATATCGCCGTTTTTGTGGCGCAATTTGTCCCATAGGAAAGAATGGCAAAGCTAGAGTGGGAGCTGGCAAAAGCTAAAAATCAGGACATGATTTCTAAACTGCCACCACTCCCTCATTTTCAAGCCCACCTACACAAATCTTATATCAAAACGTTCAGCTATCCCTGCTGCCACTAAACATGTCAACGGTTAAGCCGTAGTCCTGATAGTTTTCACAATATGACCATTTGTTTGCAACCAACGCTGTCCATTGACATTCATTGAAACTTCACTCTGCAAAGCTCAAATTTGAAGTGCAATTTCTAAACTGCGACTGTGCCTTCAATTTTAATACTTCAGAGACATACTATGCATCAAAATGTAGGTCTGGGTCTTGTGATTCTCACAATATAAAGCTCTTCACTGTAGGAGTTATAGTTTTTAAGATACCACCGTTTGAAGATGGCAACCACCAAAATACTCTGACCTGTGTCAAGCTGCAGCAGCAAGTGATGTCATAGACAGGGCCTTTTGAACACCTGCTAATGTTTTTATAAATGTATGGTTTAATGTAACTGTGCAATAACGTTGCAATTAAATGTGCTAGACTACTGGTGGAGGCAAGAATACTTCACACAATTTCCCCAGAAATTGTAGCGCTTTTCTATTATTATTCTATTATTATAGCAAAATTCACAATTCTAACTCCTCCCACACAGTTTTTACACTACATAGACCAAAATTTACCAAACGCAGATTAAAAATTCTGATCGATTGCTATTACTTTGTGGAACGTTTCACTGAATGGTTCACGGAATATTACCGCCGCTTTGTGGCTTGTCCATAGAATGAATGGCAAAGCTAGAGTGGGAGCTGGCAAAAGTCTGAAAAATCAGACATGATTTCTAAACTGCCACCTCACTCCCTCATTTTCAAGCCCACCTACAAATCTTATATCAAACGCTCAGCTGTCATCCCTGCTGCCACTAAATATGTAAAACGTTGCCGTAGTCCTGATAGTGTTTTCACAATATGACCATTTGTTTGCAACCAACGTTTCGGCCCATTGACATTCATTGAAACTTCACTGCAAAGCTCAAATTTGAAGTGCAATTTCTAAACTGCGACTGTGCCTTCATTTTTAATACTTCAGAGACATACTATGCATCAAAATGTAGGTCTGGGTCTTGTGATTCTCACAATATAAAGCTTCGCTGTAGGATTTATAGTTTTTAAAATACGACCGTTTGAAGATGGCAACCGCCAAAATACTCTGACCTGTGCCAGGCTGCAGCAGCAAGTGATGTCATAGACAGGGCCTTTTGAACACCTGCTAATGTTTTATAAATGTATGGTTTAATGTAACTGTGCAACAACGTTGCAATTGAATGTGCTAGACTACTGGTGGAGGCAAGAACACTTCACACAATTTCCCCAGAAATTGTAGCTTTTCTAGTTATTATTATTATTATTATAGCAAAATTTGCCACCCTAACTCCTCCCACAGTTTTTAAACTACATAGACAAAAATTTACCAAAACGTGCAGATTGTTCCCGATCGGATTGCTATTACTTTGTGGAACGTTTCGCCGAATGGTTCACGGAATATCGTCATTTTTGTGGCGCAATTTGTCCCATAGAAATGAATGGCAAAGCTAGAGTGGGAGCTGCCAAAAGCTGAAAAATCAGGACATGATTTCTAAACTGCCACCACTCCTTTATTT